TGGAGACGCTCATTTGAGCGTATTTCAAATCAAATGAGTTTTTCCTTCTAAAAGAAACTAAAGCGTCATTTTGTTTTGTATTTAAGAGTGTTCGTAATTCATTCTTTTTTCTATTTTGTAAAGTAGAGGTAGAATCATGATTAGTTTTTCAAATATTATTCTTTCTCAGTTTCTCGAAAACTGCTTTTACGAGTAATTTGGAACACTTGGAAGTATTTCTGCACTTTGACCTAATTATCCGCTTATACTTAAAGGAGCATAAACTATATTCAAACACATTTAGCCACTTAGGTTTAGTCATGGACCCGGGCCGGGCCGGGCCGGTTCCGGTACGGGCCTGGGCCCGGCCAGGTTTTTTTTTGGGGGAAGGAAGAACCGGAACCGGCCCGGGTAGGCAGCAGTTCCGGCCGGGCCGGTTCCGGGCCGGTTTGGTTCATGTTATATTTTTTTAATTTCTTTAGCTTTTCTAATTAACCCCGATCCCCTTCACCCCCCTACCCCCCCCCCCCCCCCCCCAACACCCTGACCAACCCAGGAGAAACCAAAAAAATTGAAAAAAAAAAAAGAAATAGGTCAGGCCGATTTGGGGCTGGTTCTGGGCCAGTTCAACTTTTATGAGGCCCGAGCCCGCCTCGTTTAACTCCCGGTTCGGGTGGCCCGGACCGGTCCTATGACCGGGTACCGTGTCGGGTCGAGCCCAAACAATACTGGTTCGGGCCGGTTCCGGGCCAACCCGAGTCCATGACTACTTAGGTTTATTGAGCCATTGAGGTGCACATATGTTTTGGATCTCTTAACTACAAGAGAAATGATGCATTAGTTTTGGAATAATAAAGGAATAGCAACTATTTAAAAGCAGAATTTTAGAATATAATCGATTGCATAACAATCTTTATTATTTTAAAACGGATACTTGCACAGAAGTTGGTCTTTTTTGAGTTCATATTATTTTTTTCAATTCTCAAATAAGTTTTTTTTTGCTAGACTTTGTAGTCTCTTTATAGTATATATGCTCAGCACTTGATTGTTAAATGCCAACATCCTTGATCGTGATGTGTTTCGAATATGTGACCTCCTTCATGAGAATGTCACGATGATACAATCAAACCACAAGGTGCTTGACAATTTTTACATAAGGTTAATCGGCTTAATTTGGGGGTTGATATGTGTGTGTGTGAGTTTGCACACACAAAAAACATACACACAATCATGGAAGAATCGCAGGTTTGGATGGTCCGAATGTGAGAAATCGCAAAAGAGATACTCATTTAGTCATTTGTGCCTTTCGTCATTAGAGGAAGGGCTTACCACTGACCTTTGGTTTCTTTAAAAATTGGGAGCTAATTAGAGGAAGGGCTTACCCTCTGACTTTTGTAGCATGTTATTAGAATGTATGGAATTATGTTTTTGAGGGCATTTTTGTACTTTCACAAAAATTTATATTACAAATCATTTTTTACCAAACACTTTTATATTATCCATGTAATTAAATTCACTTTTTTCTTCCAACACTATCAACTTTTGCTATAAAATATATTTCTAATATTTTTTAAATAAAACATTTTTGAAAAGTATAACCACAAGCAAACATTGTCTAGATATAGTAAAGTTGCAATGGTAGAGTGCTAGTGGTAGTAGCAATGGAAAAAATAATACTAACATTTATTTTGGTACAATTAAAATTATGATCAATAATATTATTTGATGGTACAATTCTACACATACTTCTTTTCAAACACAAAAAGGGGAAAAGTACCAAATCAACACTCGAACTAACAATGATAGTTCAAATCACCCCCTAAACTATAAAAAGTGCAACTAGGACCTCCAACTTGGTGATTTAGTGCAAATTACCCCAAACTGCAATCAAACTCTCCAACTCGGTGATATAGTGCAAATGACTTTCTTGAGTTGTAATTTACCGATTAAAGGTGTTATGCGCCATTCATTTATTCGCCTCAATGTATATCACTTAAACCTTTTATTGACTGCTTATAGAATGAGCCGAGGTTGAGCATGCAATCTCATGAGATGCTCGTGTGTTTCCACGAATAACTCAAGACCCACCGACGAATTCAAAAACTAAACATATAACGTACAACTCCACCACTTCATGAATGAAACGACTACCGATTACAATAAATTACTTCGTATTAAATAAATTTTATATACTTTGATACATGTAATTTTACACTTCTAATCTAAACTTTTGGGTGTTCACATGCATACTTTGGAACATAGTGAGCTCTGCCACTGATAGTAATAACTGATGTGACACCATAAAAATGTATGTGAAAACTTGAGTACATAAAATTAATTAGGTAGTAAAATTGGCGTTTAATGCACAAAGCTCTAGTACGTGATATAAAAATTCAGCGCATTAGTCCAAGTGATTTTAAAAATGCATCAAACGTCGTGTACTAAACATTTTTACTAAACAATTCTAATTCACTATCAATTTCTAAAACAAATTCAGTTTGATACCGATTTCATTTACTAAAGAAAATAAACAATTATACAAACATGAAACTAATTTAATTGGAAGAGTAGAGCATTAGTTGCTAAAATAGGTCACCTGAAATAGTAAAGTAGATTGAGGTATAGCTATTTAACTTGATAAAGTTATAAGGGATCAAAGAATACATGATACTACCTATGTTCCAAAAAAAGGTTTGACTGACAACTTTGAACAACCTAATTTGACCGCCCTAAAAAAGTTTACCATTTCTATTTATTGTAATTCTTCTATTCCTTATAACATTGTCAAAGTTGATTGATACGTAAAATAAAAAAATAAAAACTTTGTGATTGAGATTTGTATAGATGAGAAATATTGATAAGAATCATAATTTTTTAAAGAAAAAATGACAAAAATTGTGAGACAAATAAAAAACGAAATGTTGACTCAATTATAAGGGAAGGGAAGAGTAATAAATTGGCCCTTTTAAAAGAGAAAAATTGGCCTTTTATTCTAAAATTTTCCAAGAAGTGACATATTTATTAACTAGTTCACAATGATTTGTCATTCTAAAATACACTATAATGGTAAGTTAACAGTGACTAGTCATATTTTCTCTAAAAACATCATTAGTCATATTTTTGTTCGGAGAAACTCTATTAGTAATATATACTACCTCCGTCCCAAGATACTTAGCCAAATCTTAAAATTTGGACCTTAGTTTTGATTAGTATAATATTATAAAAGTTACAAATTTTATACTTTTATTAAAGTAATTTTAACAAAAAAACATTTTCTTATCATTTTTAAATTATAAATATTTTCCAATAAATATATATAATTGGTCAAAGTTTTGAATTTGACCAAGTATTTTGGAATGGAGTATTTCATTATTTCTTATTAATTTCCAGTTCATACTATTTTTCTTCTCTTCATAAATTTCAACTATTTATATAGTTGCAATCTATTATTCTAAGTTCATATCACAATTAACCAATTGTTAAAAGACAAATAGAGTATAATAATAGGCCCCATTTGTAATTTGGGCCTTGCACGAGCCTGTTGCTCCCTTTCAGGACCAGCCCGGATGATACATAAATATGTAAATAGAGGTTTTGCCACTTTTAGTCCTACTATTATGTCATTGACACTTTTGATACTTGACTTTGATTTTTTTTCACTTTTAATCCTTTAACTATTGTGTAACAGACACTTTTGGTACTCGTCTTTGAAAGTTTTCACATTTATTCATTCGACTTTCATAAAATTGACACTTTTGATCTTTCAACTATTATAATAGTGACATTTTTAATCTTTTACTTATTGACAATAAGAAGTGGGCACGGTCCGGTCCGTGAGTATTCAAACGGTTTGGTAAGGTTCGGTGTTAGACCTAAACCCGTTCGGTACGGTTCCATTTTCAAACGGGACGGTACCATGCCATATCAATATCAAACAATGTCACTTTTTTCAAGTGTTTAAGAAAAAATTAAAGTTTAGTCATCTTACAAAAATCCACACAATTTATCAGTTTTCATACTCACTCCGTCCGAAATTGACATGCAAAGTCAATATGTTTTGGTCAACCAATGTTAAAGTTAAATTCTCTTATTGATAATTAATTCAATTTTTAATAATTCAAATTTACATATTCAGAAATTACATTAAAATCTCTTCAAAGTTGCAAGCTCCAAATTAAATATAATTAAAATTGACATTATACTTAAGTATGGAACTGTTTGATCAAGAAAAGTTATTTTTTGCAAATCAATTTGGGACGAAGGTAGTATTAGATAATTAATAAAATTCAGATAAACAATAGTAGTACAAATTTAAATAATTAAACAATACATCGGTCTGATTCCAGGTTTCCTATGAACTAGCAAAGGCGGTGAAAGCGTGAACACACAGATCAAAGTAATGGTATAAATGTAAATTTAAATAATTAAACCATACTTCGGTCCGGTACCGGTTCTCATTTTATGAGAACTGGTCATGGGAATATTTAGAAATGGTACGGTTCGGGATAAAAAAATTGAGATCTATTTCAAATCCCATTTTTTGGTGCGGTACCGGTTCGGTTCGATACCATGTCGGTTTGGTATTTTTGTCCACTCCTTCTTATTGTGTCAAATGCATAGTGAAATGACTAACAATGACAATTTTATAATACGCAGGGAACTAAAAACGGAAAACATTGAAGTGGGGACTAAAAGAGTCTCTTGGATTATAGTCGAGGACTGAAAACAAAAAAAAATTAAAATTCGAGTACCAAAAGTGTCTCGAACCAATAGTCGAGGGACTGAAAATACAAAAAAACTTTATATAAATATTTAACTTTAATTTTCAATTCTTTTCGTTATCTTGTTCAGAAATCTTAGTACTGGTAATTCTTTTTTTGAAAGGAAGTACTGGTAATTCTTAAGTAATTAATTCACATTGTCAGATAAACCTATTTATTTAGTAATATACTAATAAATTAATGAAATAAAATTTTAATTAAATTTTAAATTTTATTCTCTTTCTCACACGACTACTCCATTAGTTTGAACATTTCTCTGTTTACAATATAAAAAAACAGTCTTCATCCTCAAGAAATTCTCAAAAGCAAAGAAGAAACTCTGAAGAAATTCAATCGTTTGCGTGTTTCGAGTTTCTACAATGGATACATCGCATGTTTCTGGGTCTGGTTTACCATCTTCTTCTTCGTCATCCTCTCCGAGCTCTACTACTATTTGGTCTTCACTTCGGCTCTTCCGGTTCCCCGTTTCCACCTTATTAGAGCACTCCGGAATGCTCCGGTCTCGACGCGAAAGCTATGAAATCATAGCGCCGGAAAGGAATGCTACCGAGACCCCTGATTTAGGTACTGGGGAGGACGGGGAGCTCAGGATTAGAATTATTGGAAGGGGTGAGCAGGATCAGGTTGGGATTGAGGGTGAAGAAGAGGCGGCAATTGATGAGGGCGAGGGTGGGGTGGAGGAGGGAGGTTTAGGTGGTGCGGAGGCGGCTACAGTGACGGTGGATTCCGGTGGAAACGGGGAAAATGTCAGCGGGAGTTCTAGGGATTCTACTTACCAGAGATATGATGTACAGCAGGTTGCCAGTTGGATTGAGCAGGTTCTTCCCTTTTCATTGCTTCTCCTAGTGGTGTTTATACGCCAGCATTTGCAAGGTATACTCAAACTTTGTTTGGATTCTTCATCATTGCATAGTACTCCGTATTTGTTATTGTAGAAATGTACAATCGCTTTATGATCTGAACTGATGAGAGTGTTCATGATGTTTGATGATATCTACTACTCCGTAGTATAATTTAGGTGCCCTTTGGTAATGACTTGTATCTACTGAATTTTCTGAAACTAAAGCATTTGGTAAAATCAAATTAAGCCCAATAAGTAGGTGAAATGCTACTAATGATTATCAACAAAATAAGCCTATTCATGCTACCAATCAGGCTCTTACTTGGTTGCATAGCATCACTGCATTAGGAAAATGTTTGCAAATAGGAAGCATTTTTCGTTAATGTGGACAGAGGAAGTGTATGAGAATCCATAATGAGGCATAGAGCTATGATCAGTTGAGATGATAACTGGATTTTTTTTATGAACATAAATCTAATTTTATGAATTGGTTCCATAGTAATGAAGAGTTAACTTTATTCTTATTCTCATATAGTCACATCCGTAGAGTCTTGATATTTTTGTAGTCGTAGCTTACAGGTTTGGTTTTAGTTAGGGCTGAACCATTGACTAGAATAGTGTTAAAAGAAAGAAATATAACAACAACAACAATATAAATAGTAATAAGAATATTCATGGAGTAATTTAATATTAGATGCTGAGATGTTTGTGTGTATGGAGTCTTGATATTTTTGTAGTTGTAGCTTGCAAGTTTGGTTTTAGTTAGGGCTTAACCATTGACAAGAACAGTGTTAAAAGAAAGAAATATAACAACGCCAACAATATAAATATTAATAAGAATAATCATGGAGTAATTTAATATTAGATGCTGGGATGTTTGTGCATATGGACTCAAAGCATGTCCTCCACATCCTTCTATTGTTTAAAATTTGATACTTTCGTGTTTATTCCCACTTATTTTTGTTTTTTTCTAAATGTGGATTTGCAGGATTTTTTATCACGGTTTGGATCACTGCTTTCATGTTCAAGTCAAATGATATTCTTAGGAAGCAGACAGCTCTAAAGGTGTGTAACGTGTTCCAATTACTTAGCTTTCTTTTGCATATGATGTACAAGCTGCCAAAGAGCAAACAAATTCATGCCCTGTGTATATTGTGTTTTTGAAGGGAGAGAGGAAGATGTATGTGCTTGTTGGTTATTTACTGGCCTTCATGCTTCATGTTATTGTAATCTACTGGTGGTATCGAAAGGCTGATCTTTTCTATCCATTTTTAATGCTTCCCCTGAAGGCTATCCCTCCCTTCTGGCATGCAGTTTTCATTGTCCTGGTGAATGGTATGATGATTGACCTAATTTTTCATATGACTGTGACCTAATACTGAACTGTCATATGATGGGATTCCATCGAAGTGGATTCTTTAGATTTCCGACTTTTTACATGTAGGGTATTTTTAAATCCCGGATAATCATATGGAGTAGAGAGAAAAATGCAATGGGAAGTTATTTTCTTGTGTTTGGTTATGCCTCTGAAAAGGAGGAGAATGAAGATGAAATATTTTTATCTTCTTGAAATTTCAAACATTCTAATTTCCTTGCCCATATATTACATCAACTACAACATCCAAGCCTTGTCCGTATATTCAATTTTGAACAAACCTCAAAATTATTGTATAGTGTTTGAGTCAATGTTTTATTCCCCCCTGCATGATATTTCGTTCCAAGTATCTCCTATTGAATATAGCCACATAGGATTTATTAATATTTGGCATTTCCTCACTCGAGAATAAATTTAACTTTAGTATTGGAATGTTAATATATGTATGATGTAGGGAGAATTTGAAATGAAAATCTTCACCCAGAAAAAAGTTAAACTTTTCAATATAAAATTGAAGAATTAGATAGCATGCGTTTGTTATTTTGTTACAGTATTTGGAAATATGCTCCAATAAGTAATTAGAATATCTTAGATCTATTAGCTGATTTATATTTACATCATTACTTTTATCAAATTGGCGCCTTTTATGCATATTCTGTCTATTTTTCTTCATGTTGCTTTTCTAAGAAAGATCAATAACTTGGCAAACTTTCATTCAATTTAGTCACTATTCCTTAAATTACGTAAAATACACAAGGGTTTTTCTTCATTTTTTATGTTTAATATTTTAATTTTGTGAATATTATTACTCTCAGACACTATGGTGAGGCAGTCCGCAATGGCTCTGAAGTTGGTGCTTCTAATGCATTATAGGAATGGAAAGGGTCATAATTTCCGGAGACAGGTAAACTTTTAAGACTAACCTGTACAATCTTGTGATTATTTACAACCTTGTGTTTAATTAAATCCTCTTACACTTTTACTTTGTTTTCAAATAAACCCTTTTCCTTTCATAACTCTTCACTTTTATGAATTTGTCAGGGACAAATGCTAACTCTAGTTGAATATACCTTGTTGCTATACCGTGCATTGTTACCCACTCCGGTCTGGTATAGATTCTTTCTTAATAAAGAATATGGAAGTCTTTTTTCATCACTAACCACTGGGTTGTACTTAACGTTCAAGCTTACAACAATAGTTGAGAAGGTAATTAAGTAACTTCTGCAAGATGAAGTCTTTAATGCACTTCTCCTGCTATGACCTTTCAGGCTTTTAAATAATTACTTGCTTACTGCCTACTATCTTATGTGTTGCTGAACTTCTCCCGCTATGACCTTTCAGGCTCTTAATTAGTTACTTTCTTACTGCCTATTATCTTGTGTTGCTGATTAGATCCAGTCTTGCTTCACTGCTTTGAAGGCACTATCAATGAAAGATGTCCACTATGGAGTTTATGCTACAACTGAACAAGTATAGTGCTTCTTTGCTATAAGCTTCAAAGTGCATTAATCTTTGTTGCCTAGGAGTGAAATTACTGGGGGGGGCTGTGAATAGTGACTTGCGTATAAATATACTCTCCATTAGAAATTGACCTATTCCAACAAAACATGTCCTCTTTCCATTACTAAAAACCTTAAACAGGAGTTTTAATATAATAAGAAATATTTATATATTCTGCTATCTCAGAGTCTCATTTATGATGAGTAATATCAGAAACATGCTTATTGCTTAGTAAGGGTGAATTTGGATGATGTTGTTACCTTTTCTGAAGTTGCTGCGTTTTAAGAAAGTGGAAACTATGGGATTGAGATTTAATTAGAAGAGTGGTAAAATGTGAACCACATGTCCACATTGTTATCCATCAAATGAAGTGGACAATAATTTTGGGACGAAAGAAAATAAAGTATATAAATAATTTAGAGACAAAGGGAGTATTTAAAATAAATTCTTTAATTAATAATTTAATGAAAATACACTCTCTAATACTGCATGCATATGAGGCTAGAAATAACATTTTCATCCATTCAACAACTTCGGCAAAAAATTAACAGATTCTGTCCTTACTGCCAAGATAATGCTTATTTAGTGAAAAACAAATGGTTTATATGGCTCATATAAGCCAAAATAAGAGGTCACCATGGACACACCAACTTATAAAAATCAACCGCAGGTGAATGCAGCTGGTGATATGTGTGCTATTTGCCAGGAGAAGATGCATGCCCCTATCTTATTGCTCTGTAACCACATCTTCTGCGAAGATTGTGTATCAGAATGGTTAGTTTATATATATTTATATTCCGTATATAATTTAGAATCTCTTTCTATTTTGTGTATCACATATCTAATCTCACCGTTGTTCCACAGGTTCGAAAGAGAAAGGACATGCCCTTTGTGTAGAGCCTTGGTTAGACCCACAGATCTACAGTCTTTTGGGGATGGATCCACCAGCCTTTTCTTCCAGCTCTTCTGATTGCATATCTATACATCTGGCTTATGTACAAAGAAAATAGCTCTCCAATTTCTGTGGGTGTTCTAACATGTCTCTTACTCCCCTGCTAAGGTGGAGGTACCCATACTTCTCATAAATGAAATGGCAAAATCTGGTTTCTGAAATTTGACCTGCTGCTTGAGGTAAAGGCTCAAATGGAAAAAGAGCTTAAGATCACTCGTTTGACTAACGATTTTTTTCTTCTACAATTTTAAATTTTCAATGTATTGAGGAATATGAAAGTGTTGTCACATAAAAATTGCAGAACAATTGTATAGATGCACCAAGACAGTGTGTTTCTGCACTATGACATAATAATAATCAGGAAAAGGGAACAGTTCTTTTGAGTTGTAACTTGTAAGTTGATGTTAACAATTTCACTTGATATTACATACTCCGTATATATTTAAAGATGAAATGTATTTCATCTTTTTCACCATTATTTTACAACTGCTTTTTTGTAATGAGCTCATTTTGCTTTGAGCTCATTATTTATATACTTTCTTTGTTCTTTCTTAATTGCAACATATCATTTTCAGGATTGATAATGTGCATTTTTAATCATTAACATATTTTATTCTCTATTAGTAAAATTACAAAAACAGTTTTTAAAATTTAAAAAGAGACAAATTTAATAACATGTTTTTAAAAATGTATTTCTAATAAGTTAAAGTAGTTAAAGTCAATATGTAAATACTGTAAAACTAGACATGACTTAAATTACTATAATATGATTCTACGGATCAGACCAGTTCAGACTAAACCATATCAGATCTCGATAGTTATAAAATACATTGAGATCAGACATTTACCAGACCAGTTTAGACCAGATCAGATTAGACCAACAGATTTCAATCCAAGTAAAAACATCCTAAAATAAAAAAGGGGGAGTCACCCACCCAGGCGCCCCACAACTCGATCAACAGAACATTAAAGAGAGAATGAAATATGTTAATATAGCCATTAAAGAAAAATGAGATGTTGCTATTAAAGAGAGAATGAGATGTTGCTAATGTGTAACAAGAAAAAGAAAAAAAATGCAAAACTTAAGACTAATTTACTTTCAATTAGCTCTTGAGAGAGAAACTGACAAAATAGTTAACTTACTACCATCCGGGTATGAACCCAGTCCGGTTCGGAACAGTACTGGATCCGATTCTGATTCAGTTAGGACCGGTACTCGTATGGGTGTTAATGGTATCTCGTCTTGGTATTCAAATTTTGGGACTGAACTGGCCGGTTCTGATTTTGATCCCAACATCTCCTTTTTATTTCTAATGGGGGGGGGGGGGGGGGCAAATTAGTTGTTCAAACGGCTATAAAAAAGGGAAAATGGAAACTAATAATCCAACTTTTTAGTACTTTTCTTACAATAGTCCCACCTTTTCGTTATTCAAGAATACAACATTTGCACCACATCTTCATTCGCTGATCCCTGACCGGTTAATGACTTGCTATTCCAAGTTATTTTCTTATCTTTGTAAAATATTATCTTTGTGAAAGGTGAGATTTATGATATGATGGTTTGCAAAGATAAGAAAATAACTTGGAATATCAGGTCATCAACCAATCAGGGACCAGTGAATGAAGATGAGGTGCAAAGGTTGGATTATTCATGAATAACGAAAAGGTGAGACTATTGTAAGAAGACCGCTAAAAGATTGGATTATTAGTTTCCATTTTCCCCTATAAATAATGGCTACAAACAACTGCATATTTTGTATTGGCGACTACATATTTTTAAGCAATTACAGAGTATTTGTTTACGCACATAGAACCCGTTTGGTAACACTGGAATTGGCTGATTCTGCTAAAATTTATGATGTTCTGGCTGAAGTGGCTGTATTGACTGATTCTGCTGATTTACATTTAAAACATTTGTTATTAATAAATTAAATAAAAAATTATATGAAAAATAGCTAAAATGATCCTCGAAAGTATTTTAGCCAATACAAACAGAAAAGTAACTTCAACCTTACTTTTTCTTATTGTTTCACAATTTAGCGCGCGAAAGCAAAAATTACGTGTTTGGTGAAAAATTTGACTGACAAACTTGATGAATCGAAAAAAGGTGACACCAAACGAGTTCATAATTATATGAATTATGTTCAATACAAATTTGAGGGATTTTGCAATGAAGGGCGGAGCCAGGGCACTAGGCCGGACTTGGCCTGTAAAAAGTATACTTTTGAAAAAAAATATACGGATTTTTTACACTAAAAATTTAAGCATTTTTAAAATTAGGGGTAGGCCAGAGCCTCGGTTGGCCTCCCCTAGCTACGCCATGTTTCCAATGTTTTCAAATTTTAATTAATTGCCTTTTTGAAATGTACAAGTCAATTTACTTTTCAAATACACATACTTTTAATTATAGGTGGGCATATAGGTTTTCAGATCGGTTTTTATCAGTTCCGGTTCGATTTGAAACAGGCTGGAAGAATTATTACCAAATAAAAACCATACTACATTCAGTTTGATTCGGTTTGAATTTGTTATTTTTTTAAAATATAGGAAAGTTATATAGTTTTGTTCAGTTTTTATCGATTTTGGTTCGGTATGTCTACCCTTACTTTTAACTTTTATTGTATTTGTATATAGTTATGTGTTTATTATACTACATATTAAATAACTATATAAAAGGGAAAAGGGGCAAAAATCCCCTTGAAGTTGTCACCAAAGGGCATATATGCCCTTAAACTATTTTTTTGTGCAAAAAACTCTAAAATCAGTAAAAGGAGGGCAATCTCCCCCTTGTTAACGGTAGAGTAGTTAACGGAATGGCAACTCATAAATTTGTTCCTTCGTTACTATGACCGCATGTAACAATTTAAATCTCACAATATTTTTTTTTCTTTTAATTTCAGTGTGAGAATTAAAGTAAATGTAAATCTGGAATAATTTTGTCTTAAAATCAGCACATGTTTCTTCACTTCTTAAAAAAATGCAACATGTTAAATTTTACACTATTCACGTGATCTACTTTATCTAAGCTTTATTTATTAATAATAATTATACTCGCTCCGTTACCGAATTAATTTTCAAATATGCTTTTTCGTCCGTCTCAATTTTTTTTTTTTGCAAAGAATTTGTGGTTCTTTTACACATTTTTACACGATTCTCTCTCTTCAGTACAATTCTTCACCACACAATTAATAATCAAAATTATTAATGGTCAAAATTATGCATTGACAAATATGAAAAGTGAATTTGGGCACTTATTTAAGAAGTGGGGAACGGGGGGAAGTATTACACAGTTGTCAATTTATCATGAATAACAAATAGGAGTACAAGATATCCATTAAAAAAACGATACAATACAAATTAACTGGTTTAAAGATAATCCATGGAACCCCATAAACACTCATTAATTTGAACCACACATGTATTGGTTGCAACCGTATGCAGCGCCATTACTTCCATCACAGATTTTCTTGGTGATGTGGTTGTGCCTCCGTCTGTGACAATCGAAAATTTATACTAGGTAATATAAATCACCTGGATTGGGTTTGAATTTTTTGTGTTTAGAAATATAATAAAATTTATTAATATTTTTAGTTTGATTTGATTTTATTCGGTTTTTAGAAATATACAGAGTACATTGCCGAAAAATAAACGAAATATAAAGAATTTAGTGAAAATTTCGTATCACATCAATCATGCTATCACGTTTATTGGGTTCCCTCCATTATCTTTGAATCAATTAATTTGTACGTATTATATTTGTTTTTTAATGAATATATTGTATTTGTTATTGATGATAAATTCACAACTACATAATACTTTCCTCATTCTTAAATAAGTGTCAAATAAAGTTCACGTATCATACTTTTCAATGCACAACTTTGGCCATTAATATATACTCCTTCCGCCCCTGAATTATCTTCTAGAGTTGGTTTTGCTCGGGAATGAAGAAATGAGAAAATTGTGTGGTGGAGAGTTGTACTGAAAAGTGGAAAATGTGTAAGAATGTACGGAGTATAAAACATGTTATGAACCATAAATTCTTTGAAAGAAAAAATAATTATTTTGAGACGGAAGAAAAAAATTGAAAAATAATTCAAGGATGGAGCGAGTACAATTCTCTAATAAACAAACACATTTTGAAATTTTATAATGAGACAAATTTAAAAATATTTTCAAAAACAATAATTTATTAATGCATCAATAAATAAAAGCCTAGTTAAAGCAGACTATGTGAATAGTGTGTAAGATAGAACATGTTGCTTTTATTTAAGAAGGGAGAAAGTATGCCCTGATTTTAGGACAAAAATATTCTAGATTTAGAGGCCGTTTGGTAACACTGTTTTTCGGCTTGTCAGGCTTATCAACTTACTTTTTCACCAAACTCGTAACTTTTGATTACGCGCGCTGAATTGTGTAATAAGCAGAAAAAGTAAGGTTGGAGTTACTTTATGGCTGCATTGGCTGAAGTTACTGTAGATAACCATTTTAGCTATTTTACATATAATTGTTTCTTTATTTTATTAATAAAATATATTTTAAAAATAATCTTTTCGTAAATTAGCAGAATCAGCCAATGCAGTCACTTCAGCCAGAACTTCATAAATTTCAGCAGAATCAGCCAAAACAGCCGATTTTCTTGCTACCAAACGGGCGCTTAGTTTTTTTAATAGAGCACAAGCTGAAATTAAAAGAAAAAACTTCAAAAATACTCCGTACTACGTAGTACTCCGTAGGAGATTAAAACTGTTATACACGGTCATGTATACTCCGTAAGGAGTATATGCTAATCGAGAGCTCTTCTCATCAGGCCGGCCTGACGGGCTGCCCCGTCCGGCCGAGCCCGTTTGGGCACCTTCCCGGTGGAATTTTTTGATGAAATTTTTTAAGCATGTTCCTCATCAAGTCTAGTTTGTCCATACCAAATTTCAGCTCAAAATTCGATCGGGAAGGTCGTCAAATGATTTTTGCAAGTTAACTGGTCCGGAAAATACATATTCCAGACCAGTTAACTTGCAAAAATCATTTGACGACCTTCCCGATCGAATTTTGAGCTGAAATTTGGTATGGACAAACTAGACTTGATGAGGAACATGCTCAAAAACTTTCATCAAAAAATTCCACCGGGAAGGTGCCCAAACGGGCTCGGCCGGACGGGGCAGCCCGTCAGGCCGGCCTGATGAGATGATTTCTCTATGCTAATCAAAGGAACAAATGTAATACGGAGTAGTTACCACGTTAGCTGCTTCACCGTTACAAGGGTGAGATTGCCCTCCTTTCACTCATTTTAAAGCCTTTTGCACACAAAAAAAGTTTAAGGGCATAGATGCCCTTTTGATACAACTTCAAGGGGGCTTTTGCCCCTTTTCCCTATATAAAAACATAGATCGAGAACTGGACCATCCGGTTAACCGCAACCTGAACCATAAATACCCAGGTCGGTCCCGGTGGTGATA